AGAGAGAGAGAGAGAGAGAGAGAGAGAGAGAGAGAGAGAGAGAGAGAGAGAGAGAGAGAGAGAGAGAGAGAGAGAGAGAGAGGGGGGGGGATAAGCAGCTTTCTGTATATAAGAACTGTGTGTCGCTGTTCCAAAGAAATGGTGGCGACTTACGTTTGGCTACCGAGAGTGGCGGTTCTTCTTCTACTGTCTGGTTTCTTCTTGTATAATTTTGTTAAAAGTCCTCTTGCGAAGACCGGAATGCAGCAGACCTGGTCAAGCTCACCTTCGCTTTCCGGCCTGTCTGGAGGTTTGGCGATGGTGACGCCTCTGGTGGAAACAGTGACGAAGAATGTCATGGAAGCCTGGCAGGCTGTCGGTCTCGAGATCCAGGAGAAGCCATGGGGCGGGCCGTCGATGGCACCTCCGGGTTGGGGGGCAGGAAAGAGAAACGCGGGAGCGGCGGAGGGTGTGGGTACAAATGAGGTCAGGGAGAGAGATGAGGGGAATGGAAGGACGGCACTAGCTCGTGGAGAAGAAGGGCAGAGTGAAGGAGATGATGGGAGTGAGGGGAGGGATATCGTGATTGCTTCTCTTTTGCTGAGGAAATTCACAGGCGTACGATCTACCGGTCGCAGAGAGCTACTTGTGACGCACCGGACCGGGATAACGACCGGTAGTCAGGGGAGGGAACTCGCGGAACCGAGGGGCGCCGGCGCAACTACCGGCAGGCGGGGGAGGAAGGCACCTTGTTCAAGAGAGAGCGTCCCGCCAGCCAAGGCTGCAGAGAGAGGCTTGATTTACGCCCTGGCGTCAGATGACGTCAACAGCTTCGAGTTGACTGAGGACATCACTTTGACCGCTAATCTTACAGTGATCAGGAAGTCGTTCCATCTGATTGGCAGATGTCCCGGGAGAAGATGCGTGGTTGATTTTGCTGCGAAGTTTCGTGGATTCGTCCTTGATAATTCAGCGTCGCCCCCACGTGTGTCGCTCGCAAACTGCAACGGCAGCCACCACAGCAGCACAAGTGGAGGAGGAGGAGGAGGAGGAGGAGGAGGAGGAGGAGCAGGAGGGGAATCTCCAGTACTCCCCCTGCTGGAACTCGAGAGTGTAGAACTGGCGCGAGCATGTATCCCGACCGGGATCGACATCGACAAGTCGGAAGGCGCAGCCGTCCACGTGGCAAATGCGCGGCTCGTCATACGAAACTGCGTGTTCAGGGACAACAGTAACGGGGTCAGACTGGAGGGCTATGGGAATGGCGGGGCCGTGTATGTGTCCCGGTCGGAGTTCCACGTGTCAGACTCTCTGTTCGTTGCCAATCGCGCTGAGGGTAAAGGCGGCGCGCTTCGCATGGACCGAGTGAGCACCGGCACAGCTGTCAATACAGTCTTTCGTGAGAATAGCGCGGGAGTTTATGGTGGCGCCATCTCCTTCCTTCAAAGCAGCTTATCCGTTATGCGCAACTGCAAATTTGGCGGGAACAGTGCGCGCTACCGAGGCGGCGCTGTTGAGCTCGACGACGGCAACGATCGCCTCACCAGTAATCTGATTCGCTGCATCTTCTTCAAGAACTTCGTCCTCAACGGCGATGGTGGGGCAATGTACGTCGGAGACATGGAGACGATGAATCTATGCAGCTGTGCATTTTCGGGCAACTACCTTGTCGACACAAACGATGGCAGAGGAGTGGACATATTCATTATGAAAACCACGGAGTTGGATCGAATCACGTTCTGTCCGATGCGGCCGAACGGAACGCACGTGGCCAGAAGTAAATCTGCAGACGTGGAGAGAGCGGCGGTCACCGGAAAGGTCGTCCGAGGGTGTGACACGTGCTCGGAACTAGATGTGTGAGCGACTGACTGGTCGAGGACACTTTCGCTTCTGCAACTCATCGGTCAAAGAATGGCAAAGCAATCTCGTGAAGGCTTTGCTTCATGTGTGTGCTTTTTGGGTGTACGTCGCGACAGAAGCCATGGAAACCGCTCGGTCGAATTGCCGCGTTTTGCTGCATCTTCTGATCGGCATGCCGCCGCCTTTGTTTTTTTCGATTTTAGAACAATACTCGTTCCATTCACCGTGCAATCACACAGAGAGAGAGAGAGAGAGAGAGAGAGAGAGAGAGAGAGAGAGAGAG